CAAGAACAATCAACAACATAAATGAAATCTCTTAAGAAATACAGGACTAGATATAAAGAGATTTCAGAGGGATTTATCATAAGGTCCAGATCTTTTCTTCCAAAGATAATGCCACCCAATCACCAACAAACAAATTTATATTTCAAATATTAGAATGTAAAGGTTGTAAACACAAGCTACCAACAGGCTGACTTGAAACTTTTGGTATAGATCAGTACAAAGACTGAAGTATTTTCCTACTGAAAATAATACCTTCCTCACAGTATTATCCTGAAAAATGAGGGTTAGGTGAAAGCACCTGATCTTAGAACTCAGAACTTAAGTAGTATCAAATGTTGAGGTTATTTCCTTTATTCCTACAGGAATCTATACTGACTACTCTTCTGTCTATATTGAAAGCTAAATGCTTTTGTTAATCAGAATGATAAATTACTAAAACAAAATAGTCCTGTAGCCTAATGACACCACTACACCACACACACACACGGTAACACTGAGAACAAGAAATGTCACACTAAATATTGAAATAATTTTCCTTATCATTCTATATGAACAAAAAACTTGGTTTAATAAAGATATCTTTGTAACATACCAGACTGGAAAATATTTTGTATGTGTTTCAAGAGTGTGAACATCGCATTTCAACTAAATCTTTTACAAATTTGTAAGAAAAGAAAAAGAATCAAAGCACAGCATATTTGACAATTTAGCACATTATTACTAGAGACACACCAGCATGAAGCAATCAAATGAAGTTGGCTACAAGTAATGGGAATCATGTAAAGCCAAACACTGTATACTTATTCTCAGTCTTCCAGCAAGAACTGGCCATGGGCACTATTACACCAATACAAATTCTGCATGTCACAGTTAATGCCAGCAAAATGCTACCTTTGCAAAAGTAAATCAAAATTAGACTTCAGTCCTAAAACATTGGTTCATGCACTTATTTCATATAGAACCAAATAAGTTCAGTTTATGTATAGATAAACTCTAATGAAAAATTACTTGATGCAGAAAATGAAGCTATAACAACAACAAAATATAACAACAACAAAATATTGTGATGAAGAAACCCACGATTCCTGAAAAACAAAACCATTATTCCTAGCATTGAAGCCCTTCCTTCATTAATCTGATTGCCTAAAGGCAATGCACTGGCACTGTGCTAGATGCAAAGGTACTAGTGTTAATGAACTCCCAGATTACTAGAAAACACAGAGGTCCAACAGACAAATAAAACCCAATACAGTAAATAATATAACCCAATTACATACACTGCATTAAGTCACTTGACATCACTGATAGGTTCTTGGGAACTGTGACTTTAAGTGAATCAAGGTATACAAAATCAGGTCCTTGAATAACATTGTTTGTTTAGTCCATCTGCTGGGATTCTTCTTTTACAACGTTATAATGAAACTACACGCTATATTAAAAAGCAGAAAATAACCACCTAACCTTGGAAGTCTATTCTAGGATTAAGCTAGCATAATCAGTTTTACTATCATATTTTAAGAACCCCATTTCATAAATCAATAAATAGATGATGGTCTAACAAGTCCTGTACAGTCAACAAATTCCTCGCACTGCTTTCCTTTCCCTGTTACTGTAGAGCAGAAGGACCAGAGCCCAGGGTGGCCTGGGCATAGCCAGGTTATTTCCTAAGCACGGTAAGGGCAAGATACTTACTCATCCATTCTTTCATTCCACAAATACTGAAGCATTTTATATGCAAATGTCTTGGCTAGAGGCTGAACAAGATATTCCTGCTCAAATAAAACCCATTTCCTTGTAGTTGAAATAACAATAAAGAAGTCAATAAACACATAAAATAATTAATGTCAGGCAGAGATGAGTACTCTGCAGGTTACACTTGGTTTTGGGTAAAGGGGTCGGGAGAAGGCCTCTTTGACATAAGTAGAGATCTTTATTGCTTTTTTCAAGAAAAAGCAAGTGGACAGGACTTACAAAGAAGACACTCTTGCCGTCTTTAATTAAACAAGGGTGCAGCACTGATGAAACAAAGTGACAGCGAGGCAGCACAGGGGGATACCAAGCAACCCAGGTAGTTTCACGTAGGGAATGACAGACTTCAGAGTTCATGCTGAAGGTGCCGGAAGTCACTGAGGAATTTTTTTTCCAGCTTGGGGAAATATATAATTTGACTTGTTTTAATAAGAGCACTATAGCTATCAAATGGATGACAGACTAGTTCGGCCAGATGGAAAAATTGTTAGGACACGACTGTCGTAGTAGGAAAGAAAAGGAATCATGGTAGGCTGAACTGAAATGGCCACAACATGGGTGTTGTGAAAATGACAGAACTTGTATTTCAAAAAGACCAAATTCTTAAAGCGTTACAAAACAAAACAAAAAGCCAATAATGGAGGAAAAATGTTCAGAAATCTGTGGAAGAAAGAAACCAGATGCAATTAGATTGAGAAAATTACAGCCCAGAGCATGTGTAGGAGGATAGTTGTGAAAGATGAGAATGTTTCTGGGTCTCTTTTAAGCACAGAAGCAAGAGACACAAGCAGCTCGAAGTGTGGGGCGCATGGACTCAGGCTAGTCAGGACTGCCCTGTCTCCCACAGGTGGTAGCACAACCTTGAAGCTAGAGCAGTGAGTGTGGGGATGCTGCACAGCATGTCCACTGTGCCTGAGGGACAGGACAGAGGCCCAGGGAGCTGTAGTTAGAGCTCTCGTGTCCAAAGCTAACAGATGGGAAAGTCTTCACCACACCCCCCTGCCTTGCATGGCAGCCACTGTTGCTGGGGAAGGGACATCGCGCCCACAGTCAGGCAGGCCGTGTCTACAGGGTGTATCAGAGCTTGAAGCTGGTGCTGGCTCTGAACAGACTGTTCTGGTCGGTTACTACTGATGGCAGACTAATTATTAAATACATGAATAGCATCCCTTCAGACAGGCAAATACCAAATATAACAAAATGGAGGGACTCTGGTTCTGGATTAGGATACCATAAACACAATCTACTTTAACAGAATGTAACTAAAATCCCTGAAATTCAATAAAACAATCTGTAAAGAATGATGGAGCAGCAATTTGTGGACTCCAAAAAATAGTACCAGGCAAACTGTGGAAGGAAACCAAAATTCAAGGACAACAATTCTATTGTTTTCTGTATCTCCAAACTCCCAATATGAACTCAAAGGAAATCCAAATCCTAGAAGGGCACGTCAGAGACCAACAGAAAGGTATAAGAGAAGCACCCCCTACCCCCTCGTTAGAGGCCATAAGAGGGCTGGGGAGGAGCAGACTGCAGGCTGGAGAGCACTGAGAGAGTGGGGGAAATCCCCTGGCTTTTTTTCTTTTCACCTTCTCTTACAGCTCTGCCCCCAAGGAAGCCTATTTTTACTGTGGGTATTGTAGCTAAGGGGTTTCATAAAGTTCTGAGGGAGGGGAATCATGTTCAACCAGAGGAAAAGTAGTATGAGGAATGTGATAGAACTATGAGGAGAAATATATAAAACCACACTTACAGTCAGAGATTTCAATATTTCGCTCCTAATAACCGACAGAGCAAGCAAACAGAAAATCAGCAAGGATGTAAAGACTGAAAAACACCATCAATCATTTTTGTCAGACTTAACATTTATTAAACCTTCCATCCCCAAACAGCATAGTACATACTCATGTGTACAGGGAACCTCACCATGGATCATTTCCTGAGCCATAAAACAACTCTCAATAAAAAGCGATTCAACTCATAGAAAGTGTGCTCCCTGCCCATAATTAAACTAAATTAAGAATCAACAAGAGGTTAATATCTGGAAAATTCTCAAATGTTTGGAAAGTACATCAACAGATTGTTTTAAAAAATGGGTCAAAAAAAAAAAACATCAAAAGGGAATTTGACAACATTTCAAATTATATAAACATGAAACATTATTCATTAAAATCTGTGAAATACAGCTAAAACAAAACACAGAGGGACATTTACAGCACTAAAATCCATGTATTAGAAAAGAAAGTTCCAATGTCAATCACTTCAGTTTCTACCTTGAAAAAGTAGAACAAGAGAAAATTAAACCCAGTATAGGCAGAAGAAATAATAAAGTGCAAAGCAGAAATTAATGAAATAGAAAATAGGAGTGCAATATGGAAAATGAGTAAATTCTGAAACTGATTCTGTGATATCAATAATATATCCAGAATGATCAGGATGAAAAAGAACACTCAAATTACTAACATCGGGAATGCAAGAAGTGACATCGGCACAGGGCCTACGTACCTTAAAAGGTGACTCAACAAGAAATAGGTAATTTGAATACTCCTGTATTTGTTATTATTATTGGCCCTGGGAATCCAGTAATAAGCAAAAATCTTTTTTATCATGAAACATTCGTTCTAGTTTTGGACAGAGAAAATAAAATGAATCAAAGACAAAAAATGAGGAAAAAGAGTGCCAGCTGTGCAGTATTAAATAAGTTAGCTAAAGAAGGCCTATATGAAGACTTCACTAATACACAGTATATGTACCTACTCCGGAAGTTGCCACTTCAAAAAATTAGTCAAAATTAGTCAATAAACTACAAAAATTGAAAGTAGAAAAGGAAAATAAGGAATAAGATCCTAATTTAAGGCAGTGATTATAAATAAAACAATTTTTTGTAAGAGTTAAAAAAACAAATACTGTATTGATGAAGATTTTATAAATCTGTGGAATGATACTCCAATGAACATTATTGTCAGAAATTCACTTTTGGTTAAAAAAAAAGTGACATCTGAACATATATTACAATGCCTCAAAATTACTTAAAACTTCAAAATGACATGATATCATTTTTCATTTTCTTAATCTTGAATTTATGGTATCATGTAGAACTTTAAAAAAAAAAATAACATTTAAAGCCGGTAAATGAGAAACCAGAATATCTAAATTAGACCCAGAGAAAATTCCAGGACTAAGAATCAGTATACAAAAGGAATAGTTGATACCATTTCTAAGGTTTAATGATAAATCTGATGAAAACTTACCTTGCCCAGAGCGGCCTTGGCGAGAGTCTACACTTGACTGTCTTCGATCTGATGGTTCCTCACTCCCTCCATCTGCATAAAATTAGAAAAAGGGATACACTAAGCTTATTTGTCTAAAGTATGTCACATAATTCACAGGGCTGTATGTTTTGCTGTAATAAAAATTACAGTTAGTACTTGCTTTGGCAGCATATATACTAACAGTGGGATGACACAGATTAGCATGGCCCTTGCACAAGGAAAATACACAAATTTGTGAAAGTATTCCATATTTTTCACCTCCAGCAAGAGCAGTGGAGGAAGAGAGAGGCCCTGAGTTGCTGGGGAGTCATTCTCTCACTCACCCAACACACTGAGTAGCTGCTGACCTCAACAGTCTTCACCCCAGTCCCCATGGAGAACAGAGGTATTTAGGGAACCCTACACCTTGTCATGTACCATTAATAATGCATACTGTATCCAGCCAAAAAAAGTACATGTGTTTAGATGAGATAAAAATAAAAAAATTACTGAGTTTCTTTACCATAATTTTGAAAAACACATGGAAACAAATTCATTTCATTGTACATAGATTTTCATTTTAAGAAATAAGCAATAAAGTATACTCATGATTTAAGAAAAACTTCCATGTGTTTGAATTTATATAAATAATTCTCATTGTTTTATATATATATGTATATACACACACATACACAGACACACAGAAAAATAGCCATCAAAAGAGAAAGAGTAAAAGGGAAACCAATGAATTGAGAAACAGACATAGAAAGCATACCTAAGATTTCAAACAAGATGACAGTTAAAGCTTTAATATAGTGGTCTGTACCTAAAATTATTTTTGAGTTCAGTTGGATTAAAAATGGGTTAAAATATCAAAATTTCCATTGTTCTTTTTATACAACCACTTGTCTGCCTTTTAACTTGCTAGTGAAAAGAAATAGTGGCTTCAAGCAGGTTTAACACGGACTCTGGCCCTCTCCTGTGCGACAAAGGCTTAGCAATATTTAAACACATATGTATGAGCATATGATTGCAAAGCATATGCAATATCGTTTAATATTTTGCTTAGTTCTACTAACCTAACAAGTAGTATGTAGCCAAATTCAAATATACACTGATGACACAAATATTTTGGCAGAAAACATTCATATCTTTGAAGTTCAGTGTGACCACAGCAATTTAATAAAACACTAAAGCTCTATAGCTTACCCAGATACATAAAGTAACTTACTATATAAAAAGATACTTGGGGCCTCCCCGGTGGCACAGCGGTTGAGTGCTGGGCTGCAAAGCTGCCCGCAGCCTCTCCCGTTCGATCCCCCAGCGAGGGTCCCACATGGCACGCAGACCTCTCCTGCCACACCCATTGCTCCCCTCAGCAGTGTACTTCAGTCCTGCCTGCTCTGCTCTCCGCTCTGGCTCTGGTGAATTCTCTCACCCTCCCGCACTTCTGACTGTACCCAGTGCTTGTATAAATAAATAAATAAATCTAAAAAAATAAAAATAAACTGACCTTAAAAAAAAAAAAAAGATACTCAAAGTGGACAGGCAGTCATAGTTTTTTTGTCCCAGTGGCCTCACTGTGAGCTCCCGGACTCCACTACACTCAGGCAAGCTTCCCGCTGCGGGCCTATTTCACCGCTCCTTACCAGTACACACCATCATTTAAGACATTCAGTACTAGGAATAAAATTAGGACTTCAGATTCTGCATTGCCATGCTTGGGTAACTAGAGCACAAATTTTACATCCATTCCTCACCACTCTGTGAAACCTGTCACTGTGAATTTAAGTGTATTTGCTTTACGGGGGCATTTAAGAAGAATGCTACCTTTACAAGAAAAGAAAGCAAGCTAATTCTTTCTAAGTGTTTACAGCGTGAAAACATGATATGTTTTCTATTTTTAGTGAAAAGGTCAATGCCCATTACAATGACATATGAATTACTCTCAACAAACCCAGCACTTGAGGGGGACATATTTTCAGCTCACCTGTGGCAAGGCACAAGGGTAAGCCACATAGGCTGTCACAGAACTGACAACATAAAAAACAAGTAGGCACCCTCATTGAACTGTTCGTGATTTTTGAGAAATCTTTAAACATATTTGCCTAGAACAGCTTACATTTTGAAAAGACAGCCCTTGAAGTAATGGGGGGGGGTGGTTATAATAGAATAAAGAAACACGACACTGGTGGTTTTCAATCCTGGCTGAATGAATACCTGAGGTTCTACTACAATAAAACTTTAATCATGGACACTGAAATTGAGTTAATTGAGTTATCTATAATTTTCACATGTCACAAAACATTCTCCTAGTTACTGTCAACCATGTAGAAATATAAGAACCATTCTTCATGTGTCTTACTCTAAAAACAGGGAGTGGGATAGGAAAGAGTTCGCCAAGCCCCGAGCTAGGAGCAGGCAGATCTGATAAAAGGCTAATTAAAGCAATCCCCATGAAAAGGGACTTGAATTAAGGCAAGGCCAGGGAAGATAAGGCGGCTTTGCAAATGAAGTCTAATCTACTCTATGGGCCACCGAGAGTTTAATGCAGCATGGGGATGATGATTTTTTTTTTTTCCTTTGGGCTGCCTTAGGTGACTTTTTGAGAGTAATATTTAAGAATTCCCAAAACCACCTTGAAGAAACAGAAGGCTCCATTGCTTAATTACATATTACATCCTCAATCTTCCCTGTGACCAAGAAAAGCATTGGAGGGGGGACTAAAAGCACATGATGTAATTCGGAAGACAGTTTTTTTCTTTAATGTTTCATGGTTGTTGCAGGGCTCAAAAATATAGTATTAGGCACATTAGCTCCACATAAACAGTGAAGAAGATTATATAAATACCCTAAGTAAAACATCTTTGAAAGTCACAACATATAAATTATAGATTAATGCCATCTCCATTTTCATGGGAAAATGAATGTGTGTACCATTGGTACAGTGTGAATTTGATACCAAGGCTTGAAACCAAAACTGGATTTTGAACATTCATTAAAAAAATTCTGCAGAAAATTACTTTTATACAAACATTCCAATGGGGTGGGGGAGGATGAGGAAATAACAGCAGCAACACCAAGATTTTCTGGGAATTCACTTTCTTCAAATACAGAATGAAAACAATATGGCATGACACAAAAGAAAAGTGCAGGCAGAATGAAAGACTATGACAGCTGTCTGTGGATGAGCTGTTGCTTTTATTCAGTTGCAAATTACATATATGAAGTTTTTATGAATAAAACACAACGAAACCTATAAACGCCAAAGCACCTGAGACTGGTATCACCAAACTGCTAAAAGTAATCTGAAATAATGTAATTGTGATAATAAAAGGACAAACTTTTTAGAACATCAAATGTGCTTTTAGATTTCAAGGTTACTAGGAAAGGAGTGGGAATACATACCGTTGTGTTCAGGGCATGACAAGACCTGACCTTTAGTTCATACCAGCTGCTCTTATTTGAGTTTTTTTTTGAGCCTCAGCGCGTTTATCTATGATTGCTGTGAGGCTAAAATATGTTACAGTATTTTATAATCTCAAAATCAGTGGTTTTCAATCAAGGCAAACTGGAGACTTTGGGGAATGTCTGGAGACATTTGGGACTGTCACAACTGGCAGGGTGACACTCGCATTTAGTGGGTTAAAAAATGGGTCATGCACCGCACATTTGTGGGGAACCCAATACCTGCTTCTGGGCCAGGGTTTCATAGGTAGCAAAAAGGCCCTTAACACAGCATATAACATCCATCAGAATCTGATTCCTATTCAGACTTCTACCCTCATCTCTCCTCTCTTAGGTCTTGAATAAGACTTTCAAAAATGTTTTATTTATATTCCAACACCAGCAACATAATCGCAATTTCCAAATACACCATGCTGACTTGCCTCTGTACTGCTATCCATCGTTTCCTCTTTACCTAGAGTACCCTTTCTCCCACTTATTCCCTAAGGCTCAGCTCAAATGCCCCTCTTCCACAAAGGCTTGTCTGAACCCTCAAATCAACCAGGTGAGAAGACCTTCCTGGGGGTCCTCCCGCAGCCTCGACCTTCCAACCTCAGGGGGTCTGTCATAACACTCTATAAATAATTTCTGAGGACTCTGTTTCTAATCTCCCACCTCCCAACTAAATCAGATGTTCCGTGAGGACAGGAACCACGTACATCTGGTCACTGTTGTGTACAGACCAAAACCAAACAATAAAGACAGTGCTTTATGAATACTTACTGAATAAATAATTTTAAATAAAATATGGGGAACACCTTACCTGCTAAAACTATAAACTGTTGTTACATAGAAAAGAAATAAAGTATAAAAAAGGACAAATATCAAGTCAGTCAAATTATAATCTTTATAGCTATGGTTTTATCTGCCAAAAGCTATATATTCTCTAGACCAATAACACCTAATTAAAACTAATTTAATATAAATAAGAATTTTAGTTTTGTGTGAAAACGTAAGTCAGTCATATAATGCAGCAAATTTTATTCACCTTTGGATATATTTCTGTACCCAAAATAACTGTTAAATGCTGGCTACCCTGAATTTAATGATGAAACATTTGAGCTTATAATCATTGGTCCCTAAACAATTAACAAGATCAATCACATCTGCCCAGCTTTCAGAGGCCAAGAACTATTTTGTCATTTTCCATTCAGACCTCATCTATTCTTTGTAAATGACGAGAATGAAGAGTATCCTTATACTTAAAACTGACTGTCTTGCAGCCATAAACAGTAACCATCAAAAGCAGGTTTTAAGCCCTTAATAAATCAAAGATAACTTGCTTCAGAGACCAAGCTTCTGAATATCAGCCAATGAATGACTACCTTACCCAGTGACCAAGCCTCCCCAACAAAGCAGCACCAAGTCCCTCAACTCCCATATCTACACATCTGCCAATCCTTGAAATCCATGTTTTCCTGTAGTCCAAAAAGATACATGAAAAGCAGAGGTCAGCTTACTGTCTTGCTCAGATACTGCACCCACCAAGCATCACTTTCCTTTTCTTAAGTAATAACAAATGTTGTTTTGTTTCCAGATAAATGCTAGTTTCTTCCTACAGCACT